TATTATGTTTCACTTTCATCGCAATATATATCATCCAACATCACATTGTGACAAATCACAAAAAATTATCTAAATTTATATTACATTTCACATCACATTAATCTCGTTATAATTAAACTCTCACATTATTTAAAAAAGAACTCATTCATGATCGATAATATTTTTAAAAATATTCATTGATATTTCAATATACATTATTTACGATATATTTTTATTCCATTTCAATTTTTCTCGAAAACCGATCAATCCTTATACACAATCCTGTTACACGAAAAGAAAAAGATAAAAGGTGTTAAGAATTCTGTCGAGTATCTTATTTTTCTCTTGGCACGAGACTCGTTAACCAAGGATACGGGCAGTAAAGGAGGGTGATTCTCAAGGACTAAACCGCGATTATCTCGAGTGGCAGAAGCGATTTGGCAAACGCGGAAGCACGGAACCGCAGAAGGGGAACGGTTTCCTTGAAAGGAGAGCAGCGTGGACAGGGTAGCTTCCGGAGAGGTCAGAAGGGCGTTATTCAACAGCGGCAACGCGACCAGCAACAAGTTGCAGCGACGGTTAATAAACGAACCATCCACCCACCGTTTTAGATATACCATGTCTAACATGAGTTACACTTTCGAACCTGTAATTTCTCTAGTTCTTTGTTTCTATCTCACTGTTATTTTTAACTTGTTAGAATGTAAATGATAGTGTAAATCGAGAAACGGGTGATTTCACGTAAAAAAAATAATTAATGGCGTGGAATTGTTTCGTTCAAGATTTTGAGATTTTAATATAGAGATTCTTAAAATTTAATATAGTTTGTTTATTGTTTTTCATCAAAACAAGTCTGTCTGTCTTTTACTTCATTTATCATAAATACAAATAAAATTAGTAAAAATAAAAAGTTTGATATTAAATAAATAATATTAATTCTATACGGAATAGTTTGTGAATTAAGAAGATAATATGTTGCTTAAAATAAAAGAAATTAAGAATTAGAAGCTTTATCTTTAATGAAAAATTTATCAAATATATATAAATTTGACTAATTATAGAGTAAATATCTATTGATCGAGTGATTAATTGTAACATGTTAATTAGCGAACACATGCATAGTCAATCAGATACATTACGATCCAAATAAGATCGGATCAAATAAGATCCAAATAAGATAACAATTAATAATCAAATACAAATATATTCGATAAATTTTCAAATTCAAATTTTTGATATAAAACCTTGAACGAAAAAAATTTTTATTTCACTTTTTTACTTATTTAAAAAACATATAAAATAGCATATAGAACAATTATTTATTAATTTAACAAAGAATGATAAATAATGAAATAATAAACAAATCAAAACAATATTTTGCAAATTTTGATTTTTAATTTTTTTTTTTTTTTTTTTG